AAAATACATGCTAAAAATTCTTGCGACATACGTTGAAATAAAAATATATATCCATAAAGTAACACTTGTAATCAATTAAACAAATTTATAAGATATCCCGTGCACTCCCCTTTTGCTTTAACAATCAATAATTTGTTGTAAATTAACGTGACATACAATTCATCTTTTTAATCTATTTCTTTGCCTATTTTTATTTAGGTTAATTTACGATCATTGATTATTAAAGCAAAAGAGGAATGCACAGAATATTTTACAGATTAATTTAATCGATTGCAAGTGTCACTTTATAGATATATCTTTTTATTTCAACGTATTTCGCAAGAATTTTTAGCATGCATTTTCTCGCTTCTAACGTCATAAAAAAGAGATAGATAATGCGAGGGGCCAGGAGCCTTAAGATATAAATATTCCAACACTTTGTTAAAATGTTAAACACATGGTAAACATAACTGTCATCTGATCGATTTATCCTTTTGCAGCTCCACTTAGGAAACTTTAACCGGCGTTTTTGGCGTATTCGACAGTAAATTAAATAAACTGAAATTACATTTCGGCGAGAACTCGAGCCGCTGATACGCCCAGATATTGAATGGCACGTAGACAGTGACCGTCGAGATCTTCATGAACGACCAGATGTATAAACACTTCGGGAACTTCGCGAAGGCCGCTTGCACCGTGTTAGTTCCGATGGAAAGCCTTCAACAATCGAATTCGCCCGTTAACAAATGTTCAAAGTACTTGCGATAAACGCGAGACATCTTAATAATTCATCAGCGCTAGTGCCGTGAGTAGTTTTCCAATAATAACAAGCGTAAAATAACAACCATTGTCTGTCGTGTAATCTGTTTCAACCCCGACAGAGCTCGTTGCGTTTCAGATAAACTGCAGTTTTCGCTTGATATTTTTATAGGCATCGTCTATATGAAATGATAACTCTAAAATACGTACACTAAGAATAAAATACTTGAAGACATATTTGTGAGACATAAAGTTCCTGTGAAGTAAAGTTTATTTCTAATAACTAACAAAGATTCTAAGGCTAATGAGAAGCGAACACGTATGTATTAGTGTTATCTTAATATTACAAACGTGTAATATTAAAGTTTATTATTGTGGGAGGATCGGTCTAAGTGTGAAAGGTTGATTCGCCCCGCACGAATGCCGAAAGAAAATTTCGGACGTCTGACATGCTGGACAATTTTATCCTCCCACAATAAATTTTAATATTACACGTTTGTAATATTAAGATAACACTACTACACACATCCGTGTTCGCTCCTCATTAGCCTTAGAATCTTTGTTAGTTATTTGAATAATATAAAGGATATTATATAAATTTATATGATATATAAATTATATCATATATAATTTAGTTTAAGTTTATTTCTGTGAATGGACTTTATGTTCCACGAATAAATTTTGAAATTATTATTTTCTCAATGTAACAACTCCAAAGATCTCGTAGTCGATAAAACTTTTATTGTAAAAAATGCGAAAGGAAAAGTTTTTCGCAAATAAAACTCTGCGCGAACAGACGGCAAAATCATCTTGTAATTTTCAATGGACTGAACGATAATACAAACTGCTGAGACCTGACCTAATCGATATGTAATAGACATAGCAGCAGATAATAACAGAACAGCAGATAATCCCGGTAATCGATGACCTTATAAGAAATAAGTATTTGAGGCACGTATATATGTATGTCATTGCAAAAATACCGCGTTGATACATTTTCTGAACTTACGTTCCTTTGTCCATGAGATCGTACGCGACGGTATTGAGAAACAGGAGTATGAAAGTCATTATGGATATGTTGTAAACTGTTTGGATATGCGGTATCTTCAACAGATCGGTGAGCATCGAATTCCTCGGCAGAAACACTTTGTCTGCCAGCATACCCTCCTCATTAGATTGTCTGCGAAGGATAAGAAGCGTAAAACGTAAACATCAAATTGTCGCTAATCAATACATTATCGGCGTACAGAGAGAGATTATGAGAGCGTATGGATAATTCGAGAGGATTACATAAATTCGTGACTAACGATAATTTGCGAAATATCACCCGACACTTCTCGCTCTTAACTTTCAATGTTTTCATTTGTCAGCGCGATATTCTGCTCACTCTTAACGAGCTATTAATTACTCATTCGTTAATTACTCGATTGTTAACAGTGAAATAATTTTCCAAAATATTGAAGAATATCGGAAATAATTTTCCGATAAATAATGAAGTTATAAAAATTTCGCCGCATTAAGTCGATAAACAAGTTTCTTCAATAAGTTGTTTGGATTCTCGATACTTAAATCGTTTCGAAATAGTTTTTTTTTCATTGTGTTAGCCGCTGTTGACCCTATTACTTCTGTCGAGATTTCATCGCGTCGCGACTCTCGAAACATCTTTAGCTGTTTTTATTTCGATAATCTTCCGCATCGATTCTCTATCTAAACGCGCAATTCTGTCCCTTACCTTTTGTCGTCATATTTGTTTTCCTTATTCAGGACTTCGTTCTCCGTTTCTATTTTCTGTCGTACTTCCGACATCATGTCGTTAATGCGATCGTTTACTTTCTCCAAAACGTCTTCCCTCATTTCCTGCGCGTGAAGAGAAAGAGAAGAGTTACACATATCAGTTCAGCGTGGAATCTTTGCTTTATATATACGTAAGAAGAGATATGACGTGTATTATTCGGCGTTTAATTGTAATTTCGCGCACGCCACACATAATTTCGCCCTGGTATTTTTTACTTTGACCCACGTTCTACATTAATCAAGTCCGATCACGATCGTGGTGAGAACATTTATCTTTCGTACCTGCATGCTTTTTAGCAATCCATTGGTAGTCATCTCACATGAGCCATTTGTAGACACGCTTCCGTTGGCCTCTGGAAAGTGAGAGAGAGAGAAGAAGAAAGAAAGAGAAAGAAATCATATGTCTTGAGTTTTATTTTATCTCTTCTACCATTTATCTTCTTTTATTTTATCTTAGATAGGAAATTCAACCGATAGTTGTAGATAGTAAACTTAAACGCATAAGAAGATTATGAGAGCGCATTGAATAATTGAGAAGACTACATAAATTCATGACTGACAATACAAATTACGAAATATTACTCGACTTTTCACTTTTAACTTTCGATAATATTTTTCAGCGCGATATCCAGTGGCTCCTAACAGTAAATTTGACTGACAAATATTAGGAAGTACAACTAATAAATATAAAATACTGGATGTGTAGTGTGTGTGTGTGTATATATATATCTATCCATGGAAGATAAATTTGGGAATATAATTGCGCAGTCATCGAGTAATTCTCGTTACTTGCAGCCGCTGTTATTGGTTTTGGTATACGCGTCTCGCTTAAGAGAAAAGATCTATCAATCTCAGTCTTGAATAAAATTGAAATCGATAATTTTATTTAAGATAGAATCGGATTTTCTGCAATCATAACTATTTATTGTTATCCTAGACAACACAAATTACTAAAAAGTATCTTAAAGACGTCCAGAAGAAATGGGATGTTTTTTGGACCTTAAATCATTTCTTAAACATTTCTTAAACTTTGTGCCGTTAGGGTAATTGTTTTATCACAATTCTATTTCTGTTGTAAATATCCTAGAATACTTGAGTTGTAATGTAGAAATGCGGTTCTGAGTTTCGTTATCTGAGAGATACACAGACTCATCATTTGTTTTTTACTTTAATATCTTGCTGATATATTGAAATAATACGTTAATCATTATTTGTAGTTTGTTCGACGTAATGTGAATATTATAAAAACTCGATAAATAATATGCCACGAGAGGATTAGTTGATAGAAGAAACAACAGTTATTTCTTGTTAAACAATAGATCAAGCACTTGATAGCAACGGACGTTATATGAACGAGCGAATAATATTACATCGCAGAAATATTAAAGTCGCAATTGCACAACACGAAACAGATCTGCATAAGCTTTCCATTATCAGCCTTAAAGTGTTTTCGTCTTGTACACAGTCTTGCTCCGAAATAGAATATATATACATATATATATATATATATATATACACACACACACACACACACACACACACACACACACACACACACACATTCAAATAGCAATGAAGGTCAATGTAAGAACGAGCAATCTTATCGATGTACAACACCAAAAACTTCAACAAACTCGACACGTAATTCGATCACTCAAGCCAATCAGTTCGCAAATTACCTTTCCTTTCGAGATGAGTCCTCTTCGAAACACCATTTTTATAAGGAACTTCCTGGGAAGCCGCAACATTGTCTGTGATCTTCAAGACGGGTTCCATGATCGGCGAAATGCTCACGGGTTTCCCGTCGACTTTTCTCGCTGACGCACTGTCGAACTCGCGACGAATTTCTCCCCTAAGACTTGCTCATAGCGCTCTTCGTTGTAGAGGGAAGACACGAGTGACTTCGGTTGCAGCGCGTGTATAAAATCCCGCGCGACGGCAGTATAAAATTAATATGTATAAAAACACTCAATATAAAGCTAACAACTAATGATAATACTAATAATGATATCTCGATCTGCGACGGTTTACAGCCAAGAGTTCGGTAATTCGCGATCGCGTGGTGCCTTTCTCACGGACTCGAGCTCGACTTCACGAGCCTTCCGCCTCTTCAGGGGGAGGAAGCTACGCTACGTTCACGTTGCGCTGCACGGTGTGACCACGACTGTGCTGATGCCTCGCTCCGTACGCACGAACTAGCCGAACAGGCCGGCCAGCAACGACATTTATTATCACTAACGCCGGTACAGTGCGCACTGATCTAATAGGAGGGACTGTCGCACTTTGTGAGATAGCCACCGTATACAAGTACTACACCGCGACGTCGCGAGTACATCAATTGTCTTCCACGCATACAACGGCGATCTCGCCGCGTCTTCGTCGACGATAGTCTTATCTCGTAATTATGGGACGAGCACTATATCTCGCACCCAGTTACAACGACATGCATGTAAAAATGGCGACTGCACAGACTGAGGAAGGCAGAAACGAGACTCGAAAAGTTTCGACAGAAACGAGGCTTCGAGGTTGCGGAAACGGAATCTTGTCGGACTTGAAGTGGGCTTGGCTTTTTTTTTATTTCAGATTACACGATATCGAGAGCCACAAATTCCTCGATGAAACAATAGCGTGTAGAACTTTACTTCGAAATGTGCTGACAGTACTAAAGTACAGTATTTCATGTTACGACGAATGTTCAATACTGTCAGCACATTTCGGGAAGCAGTCCTAATTGACGCGTTATTGCCAAGTAAACGTCAGTACCACCTCTCATTAATTTTACATTTTCAAGTTATTAATGATTAAGAGTTAAGAAATTCCTAGATAAACACGAGACTTCAAAGTTTATCGGAGGACTTCAGTCGGACTTTGATTACGATCTTTCACTTTTATTTTAATTTCAATACAAAAAATTATTTAGAGTTCAGTTTAGTAAAAAGAATTATTTTTGCATCTAAAAATGAATTCAGAATTGGTGATATACGACTAAATTCTTTTTAAATTCTCTGTGCTATCTGGGGTAGTACATAAATATGTTTACATAAGTTTAATTAAAATGTGACATAATTTATCAATATAGTTATAATTGAAATTTTGGAAAGTCTTATTATTCCAAATTTATTGTTTTGAAAAAAATTAATTTTGACTTTACCTACCACATTTATATTAAAGGTCTGTTCAACCAAATTGTCATTTTGAAGTCCAGCATTGTTGATGAGTATATCCAGTCCATTGAGAACTCTCACAATTTGCTTGAAAATCTCTAATGATTAAGAAACAAGTTACTCAGTAAATATCAACCATAACATTACATCAATGTTATAATTTTTCAATAATTTCAATAATTTCAATAATTTTCAATAATTTTCAATAAATATTTTTCAATAATTTCAATAAGTATTAGTAGCCATAAATCTTGTGATAATCAATGCGTTACAATAACCCTTCTGATGTGTTTTTGCCGTAAGCGGATCTATCCAAAGTTGACTTCGAGCTAAATAAAAATATCGGAGCGTCGTAAAAATTATTCGTCTTATAATGCAAAACACACACACACACACACACATAGCTCTGAAAAGCTCTGAAGAAAAATTATTTTAAAATTAGGACGCACATGACAACATGTATCAATTTACTACTTGGACAATTCCTTCACCCCGCTCTTCGTGGAACAATTTCAACAATATAGGTCGCTGGTGATTCGACAGTTCGTTCGTTTAAGCTCAGCTATGCCGTTAATCCTTACGATCTGGTTGACCTTTAAAACCTCACTAGTGGAATTAATGTGGGAGTACAAATTAGAGAGTACCCATTAGGTATATACTTGTGATAACAAGGGAACAGCTGATAAGTTGACGTATCGGTTAGCTTTTTCATCTAATCGTTACTGACGTCGACTGAAGCTCTGAAATAAAATGGCTATATCGTCTGAAACATTCTCGTTTACATCACGGGCGTCGCCCGTGCTTCCGTATTTCTCCACGTGTCCCTTTAACACTCCACGAATCAGGTAAATAAAAGTCATGCTCTGAACTAACAAGTAAACTTACCCAAGTGTTACACTCCGATTTTGATAAGCTTTTAACATGTTAATCTAGATCTAAGTAAAAGACATATTGTTTTATACGTGCACGGCCGATAAGAGAGTGAAACACTCTCTTGAAAAAAATCGGAAAAGAGCCCGGCCAAGTTCAGAGCATGACTTTTATTTACCTGATTCGAGTGTTAAAGGGACATGTGGAGAAATACGGAAGCACGGGCGACGCCCGTGATGTAAACGAGAATGTTTCAGACGATATAGCCATTTCATTTTAGAGCTTCAGTCGACGTCAGTAACGATTAGACGAAAAAGCCAACCGATGAGTTAACTTATCAGCTGTTCCCTTATTATCATAAGTATATACCTAATGGATACTTCCACATTAGTTCCATTATTGAAGTTTTAAAAGTCAACCAGCTGAAAATGAAATGATGCTTTTTACGTTGCACTCACACACCGTTCTCGAGATGTCCCATCCGGAAGTCCAGGTGGCCAATTATGGATTTTTAAACTTTAATTGCTACAGATGGCTGCCAAATGGTCATTTCAAGTCCTAAAAATGTGATTAATGGCTTAAAATGAAGCTTAGTAGATTCCCTCAAAACAATTTAAAAGCATTTTTTATTTACTAGCTAAAATGGCCGAATGGGGGCGCTTCAAGCACTAGGTACTTGAAAATTCATTTTTTCATTGAAGATTTTTCACTTTTTCGACTGATTTTCGACATAAAGGGTTAAAACATTTATAAAGATTCAATATTAACTTTCAAAAAACCTTTAGTACATTCATTGATTTTACTCGGCAAAAATTGCGATATCTCAGCGAAAACTTATCCGATTCCAATGATCCATGGCTCATTTTAAAGCTAATACTATGGAGATTATAGTGCATATTAAATAGTGCTTAAAATATTTGATAGAAAATGATTGGATAAGATTGAAATGGTTAGAATTCCTATATTAATTTATATGACTTATTATGCACCGAAGCCGTACAACATAGACTTTCTATATTTTAATTATATTTTATGATACTATTCTTTTCAATCATCTTGAATATTGATGTTTGTATAATAAATTGATATCTCTGAATTATAATAAATATCGCATTATGTATTTATTATTATTTTATAATAAACTACTTATAATATTCTTTCATAATGATCCTATTTATAATGATGGTTACAAAATGGTCAGATAAAAATGAAAAGAATATCTATGTAGTTTGATCATATCTTATGATATTACTCTTTTCCATCATGTTGAATATAAAAATTGATATAATCAGTTTATATTTATCAATCATAGACAATACATAGTATATGAATTCACTTACGAAATTTCATAAATGAGTTGTAAAATATGTGAATTAAAATCACCATATAAAATATGATAGACAAATTTTCTATCATTTTCTATCCAACATTTTAAGCAGGGACATTTAGAGTAGATTTACTTGTAAGTAAAGTTTTTTACATTCTAAACATTATCCATCTACAAATATATTATTTAAATAAACATGCACTTTAAAATGGTGTCTCATCATTTTTATAATAAGGACAGATCTGTATTTAAAAAAAAAATACAGTAGTTTCCAAACCGCTAGAGTTAATTAACTCATATGATTTGCGGAAAGTTAACATTATTATCTTCTAGTTATCTCCTTATTACCTTTTACTTCTGAGTCTTCCAGTAGTCTTCTAAGTTATCACACTTTGTACAAGGCAGAAATCGTCAGATCTTTGACGAGGAGTCGTAATTAATCCTTCTACGAATATGTAGAACATTTTTACTGTCACATTTATGCTGTCGTTTACCCGAATTGTTATCTTGCTTCGGCAATAAAACGGTGTGAGGTAGATTAGTTCGAGAGAATTTACTTAAAATTTCCCTTCCACAAAATATCGCTTATTTTAAATAACACATCTAAAGAAGAAGAGTAAATATATCTATTATATAGATATTATGTCTGTACGCGACGTCACTGATATTACTTGGTGTGTAGTTTAAATCACTCTGAATGTAAAACAAGAGAAACATACACACTAAGAATAGATAGAGACTCTAAAAAAGATAAAAGAACTAGTAAAAAATGAAGAACAGCTTGGATCAATATTGACATTTAAGTGCCTTTGTACTCTGCTGATAAATTCTCGATAATTTCGAAACCTCTTGAACAACTACGTGATAATCAAAATAGTCACAAATCAGAGATACATTTAAAAACATTTAGTGCAATAATTAGTATGCTAGTAATGGATACATTTCTGCGATTAGACTTGTTGTGATGAAGTGACAGATTATCAATTCATTTACGCAACATATTTGGATATCGATATTTGAAGCACGATCAGTCGGAAATATTACACGATAAATATCTAATTTTCCATTGATTTATGGTAATAAACGTCACTTGGAACAATTGAAAAAGAAAATATAGATGGTTGAAAAAAAAACGAATGTTTTTTTCAGACTAACACAATTTAAATTTTAGACATAACACAATTTAAATACAATTTGATTGTATAATTGTGCGGAAGTGTTGTTTTTGTTTTATCATGTATTATCCTTTTCGAAGCAATTTTACAGAAAAATCAAATCAAACATAAAGACTAAGAGCCGGTTTTTCAATAGCAGTTTAAACTTAGATTCATATTTAAACTTTATTCTAACAATGCGTTTGTTTTGTTTAAACAGAGTTTAAGTTGAAATCTAAGTTTAAATTATTAAAGAACCGGCCCTAAGTAAATATATTTACTAGGGGTTCAATACTGAATCGGATCTGGCACTATTTGGGTATTCTGGATTGTTCAGATAATGAATAAATATGACATTTCAAATTAGGGTTATCTGCGGACTCGCATATCTCATGAGATATACGAACAGCTGAAGCGTCCCAAATTCGAGTTTGAATCTAAGTTCTCGGCGGAGTTGGTCAAATACGTCTGTAGTAGCTTAGATCTCTCTCGAACATTTGATAAGTAATAAATCGATATAGATATAGATATAAATATAGATACGGGTCCGGATTCAACTGTTCGTAATATCTTATGAGACACGCGAATTTGCGGAATCCGTTGAAAAATGTAGTTTTGAAGTCAGATCGAAATTCAGGTATCTTTGATATCCGGACAGTCATTTATTCGAATGTTTGGGAGCCCTAATATCTACACATAAATATATTAAATATACTAAATAAATATATTAATATATTATAAATTAAATTAATACATAATATATAATATATAATATATAATATATAATATATAATATATAATATATAATATATAATATATAATATATAATATATAATATATAATATATAATATATAATATATAATATATAATATATAATATATAATATATAATATATAATATATAATATATAATATATAATATATAATATATAATATATAATATATAATATATAATATATAAATATATTAAATATATTAAATATATTAAATATCTACACATAAATATATTAAATATCTACACATAAATATATTAAATATACGGTATTTTTCATAAGTTTGGAAACATCGGTAAAAATAAGGATATTAAAATGGATATTTTATTATAATTCTGCTTTGCACTTACCTTTACAAGATCGGTATTTATGTCATTTGATAGAGAGAAGTTTCAAGTTTAAGAATTCACTTTCTATATTGCTGTGCAATGAAGTTTAATGTCATCAGCAACCGAAGTCAAAATGTTTAATTTTACTTTAACCTTCAGTAATACGGAAACACAAAATTGTAGAGAAATTTTTTTCATAATATAAATTGTATAGAAAACTTCAATCTTTTATACGGAAGAAATTAAAATTTTCTCACATTTTTTCTTGCGTTCATGGCATGTCTGAAATTAAGAAGAAAGTTTTCTATTTTGTCCATTTTGTTTTCATAAAGACTACATTACACTAGTGATTGGAGATTGACGATTGAAGATTAAATTTTGACGAATCAATGAGCTTCAGGCTTGGTTTGCTTTGTTCCAATTGATCCAGTTCCAATCTTTAATCGTCAATCGCCAATCGCTAGTGTAATTTGGCCTTTATTTATGAAAACTAAATGGACAAAATGGCAAATTTTCTTCTCAATTTGAGACATGCTACGAACGCACGAAAAAATCTGACAAAATTTTTAGTTTTTTCCGTGTAAAAGATTGAAGTTTTCTATACATTTTACTCGGAAAAATTTCTCTACAAGTTTGTGTTTCCGTATTACTAAGGGTTAAAGTAAAATTGAGCATTTTGACTTCGGTTGCTCATGAGTTCATTAAACTTCATCGCACAGCAATATAGAAAATATGGATTCCTAAACTTGAAACTTTGCTTTATTAAATAACATAAATGCCGATCTTCGGAAAGGTAAGTGCGAAACAGAATTAATATAAAATATCAGGATTGGTTAGTAACTTTTAAAAAAGTTAAAAGTTAAGTTAGAAGTTAAAAAGTTAGTAATTTTTAATTCAACTTAGTTAAGCTCAAATAAGTTAACTTTTAACTTAAACTTAGTTAATTTTTATGTATTAACTTTAACTTTTTTACTTTTTTCAGTTAAGTTAATTTATTTCATCAATATTAAAGTTGCGTAGAAATTATCAGTCACTTTAACAGATAGGTATATGAGAGCAATATTCATAACCATATCTTATATTTATAATCGTTTCAAATTTATTTTTAAATACTGAACAGATCGTTTCATTGGCTACGAAGCATCTGAAAATAAACTTACAATAATTTTTAATAAAAGATTTGACTATGGCTGTGGTCCGATTCACACTTACTATAAGTACTATAAGCATCATTTTATCTTTATTGTTCATTACATGCCAAAGAAAAATAGAATGAAGCTTCCAGCATTGTAATGCGTTGTCTATAATGGCAATAGGAGTAGTAGTAAGGAATAAGTAGTAAGCAAATGGACCAATCACAATCGATTGTTCTTAAATCGTGAGAATGGAATGAGTCAATTTGCTTACTGCTTATTTCTTACTACTATTTTTACTATATATATAGTATTTTAGATAATTAAGTTTTCTGTAAGTAACTTCTAACTTTTTTTTAACTTTTTAACTTCTAACTCAGTTAGTATTTTATTTCAGTAACTTTTAACGTAAACTCGATTATTTTATAACGAACTAACTTTTAACTTAACTCAGTTAAAAACCAAAAATAACTTACCTAACCTTTCTGTAAAATATCCATTTTAATATTCTTATTTTTATCTGTTTCCAAACTTATGGAGGGTACTGTGTATATGTATTTAATAATACATATATTTCAATGTGCAAAAACTCTCTCATAAACCGACATACAAATAGAAATGTACATCTGTTTCACACAACAACGGATTCCTTTTTTTTCGAGTAAATATTCACACACAGCTAGACATAGTGTTATTTTTCTATACATTAACAATAGACAAATATCTTTTATTTATACGTAAGAAGACGTTCGTAATAATTCAATCAAGCAGCGGAGGTACAAAACTCTGCTTAAAATATTTGATAGAAAATGATTGCATAAGATTGAAATGGATAGAATTTCTATATTGATTTATACGACTTATCATGCACCGAAGCCGTATAATATAGACTTTCTATATATTTTAATCATACTTTATCTATACTATTTTTTTTAATCATATTTTATGATACTATTCTTTTCACTCATCTTGAATATTGATGTTTGTATAATAAATTGATATCTCTGAATCATAGTAAATCATAGTAAATATCGCATTATATATTTATTATTATTTTATAATAAACTACTTATAATATTCTTTCATAATAATTTTACTAATAATGATGGTTAGAAAATGGTCAGATAAAAATGAAAAGAATATCTTTGTAGTTTAATTATATCATACTACTCTTTTCCATCATGTTGAATATGAAAGTATAATCAGTTTATATTTATCAATTATAGACAATATACGGTACACTGAGAAAAAATTTATTAAATTTCAAAAAACGTTTGTTTTTTAGTACTGTGATAGTACTGTGAAGATATTTGTTTAAATTAAGTAATGATTTTCTAAAATTAAATAAAGAAGTTTTAAATATAAATTTGTTTCTTTAATTTTAGAAAATAATTACTTAATTTAAACAAATATCTTCACAGTACTATCCAAACAAACGTTTTTTGAAATTTAGTAAATTTTCGTAAGGATTAACGGTGCATGTTCCCCAAAATGGGGGGGGGGGGGGG